TGGAGTTTATTATTTTTCAAATTTCAAATTCCAATTGTTTATTGCTGGGAATATAGAAGTTTTTTGTCTTTCTCCTTTCAATTTTATTGATTTCTTCTCTTTCTTTATTATTTACCCTATCTGCATGCTTTAGGTTTTTTTGCTCTTCTTTGCTAGTTTTTTAAATGAAGTTTACACTATTGGTTTAAGACCTTTCTTACTTTTTAAAATGTTCCTAGTATGAACATTTGAAGCTATAAATTGCCCTCTAATCACTGCTTTAGTTGCATACCATCAGTTTAGATATGTTCTATTTTCATTTTTCTTCAGTTCAAGACATTTCCTAATTTCCCTTGAGATTTCTTTGACTCACGAATATTTATAAATATGTGGTTTGTTAACTATTTGGAGATTCTCCAGTTATCATTCTGATATGATTACTAATTTAATTCCATTATTTTCAGGAAAAATATTGCATTATTTCAATTTGTTTATATTTGTTAAGGTTTGTTTCATAACCAAGAATATAGTTCATATTTGTGAATGTTCCATCTGCACTTGGAAAGAATGTGTATATCATTGCTAGGTAGAATTTTTTTTTTTTTTTTTTTTTTTTTTTTTAGGTAGAATGTAGACACTTAAAAGTGTCAATTAGATCCAGTTGATTGATGGTAATGTTCAGTTCTTCTATATTAACAATTCTGATCTGGAGGCGATTTTGTGCCCCAGTGAGGAGTTGACTATGTTTAGAGACATTATTGGTTGTTACAAGTAGTGGAGAGCTACTTGCATTTAGTGCATAGACTCTTCTGGCCTTCTGCTGCTAAATATCCTACAATGCATGGAACAGGGCTTTACCCCATCACTGCCCCACCCCTGCTAACAACAAAGAAAATAAAGAATTATCTGGCCTCAAATGTCAATAGAACCAAGGTTGAGAAGCCCTGTCTGTTTTACTGATTATTGAGAGACAAGTATTGATGTCTCCACCTCTAATTATAGATTTGTCCATTTCCTTTTTCAATTTTATCAGCTTTTGTTTCTTTTATATCAAAGCTCTGGTCTTAAGTACATATACATTTAGTATTTTTATACCTTCATGGTGAAGTGTCTCTTTTATCATTATGTGGTATTCTTTTTAATCTCAGGTAAATTTTCATGCTCTGAAATACATGTTGTCTGATGTTAATAAAGTCACTCCCCAGTTCCCCTTCAGTGTTTGCAGAGTATGTCTTTTTTCATTCCTTTAGTTTAACTTACTTTTGTTTATATAAAGTGGGTTTCTTATATATAGTATATAATTGGGTCTTGTTCTTTTATTATCCATTCTGATAATTATGCTTTGGGTTGGTGTGTTTAGGTCATTTTCATTTAATGGAAGTACTAACATGTTTGGATTTAGGTTACCATTTTAATAGTTGCTTTTGTTTGTTCCATTTCGCCTTTTCTGCTTTCTTTTAGATTATTTGACTTCTAATTTTTTTACAGTTTCATTTTAATGTATATATTTTATTTATTCCTCTGTCTGTACATTGTTTTAATGATTGCTCTGGAGATTAAAATATACATGCTTATGTTTCCACAGCCTACTTAGAATTAATATTTTACCAAAGCAGTGTAAAAATCTTACCTACCATATAGGTCCCAATATCTCCCCCCATTATGTTGTAGTTGTCGTATGTATTTCATGTACCTACATTGAAAACCCCACCAAACTGTTATAATTTCTGCTTTCAACTGTCACACATATTTTAAAGATCTTAAGAGGAGAAGAGTAGTCTGTTTATCAGATGTTTACCATTTCCATAGCTCTTCCTCTATTTCCAAGTCCAAGTTTCTAATATCATCTCCCTTTCATCTGAAGAACTTCCCTTAGCATTTCTTCTATAGCAGCTCAGCCATAGTAACAAATCCTTTTATTTTTCATTCATCTGAGAATGTCCTCATTTTGCCTTCATTCATCCAGGATACCGTCATTCACTGTCTGCCTGACTGTTCCTTACTTTCAGCACTTGAAAACTATATTTTTCCAGTGCTTCTGGCCTCCATGGTTTCCAGTGAGGAATGTATATCCATTCACATTGCTGGCCCCTATAGATAATATGTATTCTCTGGCAGGTTGTGAATGTGAATTTTTTTGTTTTTAATTTTAAGCAGTTTGATTATATGTCTGAGTGTGGATTTTTTTTAAGCTTATTTGTCCTCTTTGGAGTTCACTGAGATTCTTGCATCTATCATTTTTATATCTTTTATCAACAGTTAAAAGTTATTCCCCATTTTTCTTTCAAATATTGTTCTGCACCACGACTTTTTCCTCTCCTTCTTCTAGGATAGACCTATATATTGATATTGATATGTATGTATTTTAGCAGGCAATCACAGGCTACAAGTTCTGGCACACCTTCTGTAGATTCTGTAGACTATGGTTACAGTGTCCATTCAGTCGTCAAAGAATTTTCAGTGCTATTCAAATCAGTATCTCTACCTGTACAGTGGTCTACCTCTCAGCTCAACGTTCAAAGCTTTTGGGTTCACAGTTTGGGATTAGGTACTAAAGACGCTATTCAGGGTTTTATCCATGCATAGACATCTCAGGGTGTGTCCAGAAGTTCATATACAACGTCATTAAATGCCCTCCTCTTTAAATCACCCTTTGTGGCTCTAGGAGTGGTCTCCTTCCTTGGTCTTCTGAATAGAAATCTTGGGATTTTTATTTTCTAAATCTGCTATATACTTCCTGCTACTATTTCTGCCTCTGGGGCCAAGTGGCACTGGGTAGAGAGGAAAAAAGCAACCTCCATGTCCTTGGGAATGAAGTTTGGTCAGAGACAATGGTTCTCCTCCCTCAGAGTTTTAGCTTGCCTGGGGCTCAGGCAGCAGAGGATGGAAAAAAACAAACAGGGAAAACACCAGGAGATCTCCCTCATTCTCTATGATCCCAGGAGACCCCCCTTCTTTGTTTTGGCCATAGAAAGGGGCTTTTCTTATAAATCTTTCCATCACCATTGCTGCAAAGTTGGTCTTATTTTGAGTTACATTTCCAATCTGTCTGATACTGTTTATCATCTTATCCTCAGATATCTTTTTACCTTATCCTTGATCTTATCCTCAGAGAGCTGCTCCAGGAATTCTGTCAGGGACCTTTAGTTGCATTCAATAGATGAAACAGGGAAGAGTGCACTTATTCCATCTTAACTGTGGCTAGAAACCCAGCCTTCATTTTTAATCGGCTTTATCCTTTCTGGTTCCTCAATGCTGTGGGATATAAAAACTTCAATAGTGGTGAACACAGTACTGTCTTTGGTAACCAGCCAATTATGCCTGAATACGGTTAGTTCATGGTTTCTAAAGAACAGGTTCAGCTTTCAAGGCCTGCCTGAAAGAACATCAGTGCTGCTGAGAGCTAAGAATACTTTCATTGGTTTACTATGGAGATCTCCATCCCAGGAGGCTCTGATCCAGGATGACTTGCGTAGAGTAGGACCCTCTGACCTTAGCTAGAAATGGCAATAGCAGGATTGATAGTAAGCACCTGGAAGGTAATTTTTAGCCACTTCCTTCTGATACTGAGGATTATTGTATGAGGAAAATGTGTGATGATAGACTCACATAGCCTGATTACTGGTGCTTCATGTGTTTTGTAAACTTGGTTCCTGATAAAGGGCCTGAATGATGAACTATAGAAACTGCAGGGCATCTCTCCCACTCATCCCTGTGGGGAAATGGAGCTAATGCAAGCTAATGCAAGCATCTGTCTCCTGATGCTTTTGTCCAGGTTGGGAGCTTGGTCCAAAATAGAAAATCAGCAAGCAAGCAAGAGGCACCACGTTTTAGAAAAGAGTCTCTAGAATAGGACAGGACGGTTTGCATCTTCTTTCTAGCTAAAGATCTTCCTCACTCCCAAGCCCGTCTTCTTCTCTTTACAATGGAGATAATCCTATGGGTCTTACTGGATTGTTGGAGATTAAAAGGAATATGTGCAAAGTTCCTGATAATAGTATTTAATAGTTAACATTGATCAAGCTTTTACTATGTGCCAGGCACTGTTGTAAGCACTTTATAGCTTAGATAATTTACACTCCCCAAGCGCCCTGTAAGGGGGCTGTTTTCATAAATGAGAAAACTGTGGCACTGAAAATTTAAGAAAATTCTTTAATGCAGAGCTAGACTTCTAAGCCAAGCATTCTGAGGCCAGAATCGACCCATGACTCTGTCCATTCTACTTCTCCATATGGCAGCAGTCATTAACTAATGTCATAAACATAGTCATACCTCTCAGTGCTGAGGTGCCTGCACTTGAATTGCAGTGTGAAGGATGTGACGGAGGAAGTGTAGGGGGTAGGAAGTAGAAAAAGACAGCATTCTTTTACTGCCAGGCTCAACCCTGGCTCCCCCACACTCCTCAGCGAGGTGTAGGCACACATGTCCACTTGCGGGCTGAGTGAAAGATGCTCTTGTGTTGTTCCTGTTGCACTGCAGTGACAGCAGCTCAGGACTGCCTGGTGCCTCTGGGTCCAGAAGGAAGGTGAGGAGAGATGTACTACGTAAGTCATTCTTAACTCCCACCTATTCCCTCATATTCAGGCTATGCTGCTTCTGAGAACTCAGCAGTCCCACCCTAGGGACTCATGGGATAACTGTAAGGAAACACTAGATTTTTGTGAGGGTCTGGGTAGTGACAGATAGCCAAGAACACACACACACACACACACACGTACCCCTTGGTCGGGGAGGGGGATATGTTTGAGTCCAGGACAGTGGAGAGATTTATATGTCAGGGAATGGCACAGCCAGAGGGGCACTGAGCATCCTTCAGCCGGCCCTGCATCCCCGAAGAGGACACTGAATTTGCTGAAGATCTTTGGCGAGGTGACTTCTGCTGATGCCCTAATTTCTGTCCAGGCATCTCTCTCCATTAACCACTAGCGAGTGAAGCATTACAACTCGGGGGGAGTCTACTGCCCTCATGTCATCTCCTAACTAGACATATTTTCTCTTCTTGTCACAGTATATCTAGCAGTTTCTTGTGACTTTTCCCTCAAACTGATCACCAACCAATCAGAACAACACACTTCAAACATACACCCTTACTAAAAGAACATGGCCAAGGGCGGGAAAGGCCCCAAGGGCAAGAAGATCACCCTCAATGTGGCCAAGAATTGTATCAAAATCACATTTGATGGGAGAAAACGCCTTGACTTGAGCAAGATGGGAATTACCAACTTCCCCAAATGTATCCTGAGACTGAATGATGTGGATGAGCTCGACCTTAGCCGGAATCTGATCAGAAAAATCCCTGAATCAATCTCCAAGTTTCAGAACCTGCGGTGGCTGGACCTGCACAGCAACTACATCGACAAGCTTCCTGAGTCCATCGGCCAGATGACTACTCTGCTCTACCTCAATGTCAGCAACAACAGGCTGACCACCAATGGGTTGCCTGTGGAGCTCAATCAGCTCAAGAATACCCGCACCTTGAACCTAGGCTTGAACCATCTGGACAGTGTGCCCACCACACTGGGTGCTCTGAAGGAGCTCCATGATGTGGGGCTACATGACAACCTGCTGACCACCATCCCTAAGAGCATCTCCAAGCTCCCCAAGCTCAAAAAGCTCAACACAAAGCGAAATCCCTTTCCCAAGGCAGAGGAGTCAGATACATTCATAGATACCATCAGGAGGCTGGACAACTTATATCTGGTAGAAGAGAAGGATCTGTGTTCGAGTTGCCTGAAAAAATGCCAACAGGCCCGGGACAAGCTGAACAAAATCAAGAATATGGCCACAACAGCACCGAGAAAGGCCATCTTTTCCAATCTAGTCTCACCTAACTCCATGGCCAAGGATTCCCAGGAAGACTGGAGGTGACCAGGGACCCTGACCCTGAGGCAGGAAGGGAAAAGGGAGGGAGGGAAGAAAGTAGGGAGCGGCATCCACAGGGAATTGTGGGATCCCTCCATTTCTTGCAACAGCTCTTCCAGCCAAGCCCATAAAATACCTTTCCCTTCTGCCTTGGCTTGTGATTTTGTTGACCGAAGCCTTTTAGTTCTTTGCCTCTTCTCTCTTCTCTGCATGCACATACCCACACATACAGGCACCATGAATCAGAAAAGGGCCATCCATCCCCCTTCTTCCCAGAATTCTCCTGCCTACAGCCTGTGGCCAGGGCAGCCAACACTGCCGCCATGCTCTTAGTCACATGGTCACACACTTCAGGACCGACTGCCAGCTCCCAAATGTGGAGTTGATTCTGTGGGAATGCTTTGATTCAGGGTTTTGGAGGTCAGGAATCTCAGAGCCTGGATTGGTAGGAGGGCAGGTGGACATTCAGTCTTGGGAAGGTGACAAAACTGAGCCACAGAGATGGGCAGATATTATCATTAAGTGTTGGCAGGTAATATCTTGGGCTGAAAGCAGTATTATCTTTTTATCTCTTGTCTGCACATGCACAATTTGTTCTGGGAGCTTTCTAGACTGAATCTGCAAGCTCTTGACTGGCTGTGAATTAATGAGATTGCATTCCCATCTTATTATGTCCAATTCTTATCCAGACTCTTGTGGGAGTAAGGAAAGAATGGGTGCAGGTATGGGTTGGTGCAGTCAATAAATAAATACCTTACTGGGCACTGTGCTAGGTGCAAGGACTCTGTCTGGGGGGACAAGACTCTTGCCTTGTCCTGTGCAGACCAGTTGAAAGAAGACAGGACAGAATGTTATTGTCTGAGAAAGTTAGGAGATCAGGGCCAAGTGGTATGCAGGGCTGGCCTGGCATAGAGAAAAGCCAAAGATTCTGGAGCTGGACAGATCTAGGTCCAGGACAGCTCTGCTTCTTTCTTTTCATTTCCCTGGACATCTTACTTCGCTTTGGTTCCCTCATCTGTAAAGTGGGAATAATACCAGCCCCAACTGCAAGGGTTGTTGTGCATCTAAAGCAGATAGCACACAGAGTAAGTACTCAATAGAAGGCAGTTCTCCGTATGAACTAAAGCTTGGTGCATCTCAAAGCTGAAATACTACTTTGGACAGTGTCCCTGGTCACACTAGATCTTTGGCAGAACTGACAGTGGTGCAGTCAATTCTCATACTAGCCGAGAACCTTCTCTGTACTGTTACTCACACTCACTCATAATTTCGTACTGCCTAAAAGGAAAGGATCAAGGAAGATATAGTTAGGAAACTTTTTTTTTCCTAATCAAGGCTTTCCTGTGTTGGTGGCAAGTTTTGTAGTGGTCAGTGGAAAAGCAGGGAAATCTGTTAATTCAGTGGGACTAGCTTGTTTCTTTTTCACATGAAAAAGCGTAGCAGACAGCCTACTTCTTCACTCCTCACTGCTTTCCTTTGTAATGCTTAGCTGTGACAACTCTTTCTCCAAAATCTCCAAAAATACGATTCAAAATTCCCTTTTCAGCTTTTCCCTTTATTAAATGTTTTCCATTATAAAAATAACAAAACCGCAACATAGTTTTAAATACAACATCTTAAAGAATCCACAACTCTACAGTGTGAGCCAGCTATAATATTGACAGATTTCCTTACTGGTTATGTTTCTGTATATATTTTTATATGCAGTTAAAATTATAGCATTTACCTCATTTTTACCCTGCTTTGAAATCCATGTTGTTACATGGTCTTAATAACCATAATTTAAAACATGTGCAGGCCAGTTGAACAAACACACATAAGTTACTATTGGGCATTCAAGCTGTTTCCAGTTTTTCACTAATAGAAATAATTTTGTGATGAAAGCCTATATGATGAAGACTTTAAAAACTATTTTGCATTATTTTCTTGGTGTAGCTTCATTATTGCAAATATGTTAAACAGTGTGTTTTTTATTTTTTATTTATTTTTTTATATGCAGGATGAGCCCAATGTGTGTGGTTTTTTTTATTTTTATTATGTTATGTTAATCACTATACATTACCTCATTAGTTTTTGATGTAGTGTTCCATGATTCATTGTTTGCATATAACACCCAGTGCTCCATTCAGTATGTGCCCTCTTTAACACCCATCATAGGCTAACCCATCCTCCCACTCCCTTTCCCTCTAGAACCCTCAGTTTGTTTCTCAGAGTTCATAGTCTCTCATGGTTCGTCTCCCCCTCCGATTTCCCCCCCTTCATTTTTCCCTTCCTGCTATCTTCTTTTTTTCTTTTTTTAACATATAATATATTATTTGTTTCAGAGGTACAGGTTTGTGATTCAACAGTCTAACACAATTCACAGCGCTCACCATAGCACATACCCTTCCCAATATCTATCACCGGGCCACCCCATCCCTCCCACCCCCCACCACTCCAGCAACCCTCAGTTTGTTTCCTGAAAACAGTGTGTTTCTTAAAATAATTTTTGATACATGCTATCAAATAGTTTACAACAAGATTACATATTTATGTATCTACCAGTAATATATTAGAGAATCTGTTTCACTGCATCCTGGTCAGCTTTAAGAGTATCATCCTCTACATTTTCCCCTTCATTTAATGTCTGAAGTGATTTACTAGAAGCCCTTCCCAAGACGAACGGAGCAGTCGTGTCTGTGAAGTACATGATGGGATGTCATGCCTTAGGCTCAGGAGCCACCACTAGTACATGGGGCCTTGAACATGTCCCTAAGGTAGCCATTTTGCTATTTTAGCTACTTCGTCTCTCACCAAGAAGTACAGAATCCATGCAGGGCATATGATCCAAACAGAGTGGTGGCCAGTTATTTGGATACTACCTATTTCCATTCCTAACCCCTGGAGACACTTTTTCTTTAGAATTAGCGTTCCCCTCTTAGTCACTCAAAGGAATTAGCAGAGAACAGGAATTAAGAAAAAATGTCTCCCTGTGCTCCTAGGCAGGATCTTGTTCTGGACCATGAATTTGCCCACTACTCCCTCTCCTGCTCTGTCACACCATACTTTTTCCATGGTGCTTGGTCCTCAACATCCTCCAGGCATTGATCCCGGATTCGCTGCCAACTGAGTGGTTGGTGTGCAAGATGACATTTATTTGCCATCGTTGGTCTAGTGCTTTATAATGCTTTCAATCTCACAGCCATGTCTTAGGAAAGGGTTGTAACTGTGTCTACCTTCACCAGGACTGATAAATAAATGGGCAGGGGGCTTTGATTTGCCACAGGAGATATTCATGTTAGACACCTTGTTAGTTAGGAAACCTTGGCAGTAGAATGAAGCAAAGAGTGGAGATAGAGATGAGTTAGGCATCGTCTTGCACATTTTCTTTCTTTTTTTCTCATCAAGGAAAAGGCCTGATGTTGACATTCCTTCATGCTCTGAAATACACAGTCACTTCTCTTTCCTAAAAATTGTATTAAGCCTAAAAACACTTGGTAGGAAAACCATGGGGTTTCACTTTCCTCAAACAGAACAAAAACCGTATTTAGGCTAACCCAGTCACTGCCCTCTCTGAAAGCCAGTCATGACCTAGGTGACCCCTGTGTGACCTCGGCCCTTGCTGTGTTTTGCCTCCATGACCTGGAGTAATTGCCTCAGTCTCTTGTGTCTCCATCCCCAGGATCCGTTCAACATCTCCCTAGAGTAGCTTATGGCAAAAACTTGAAGACTAATCAGCCAACAAGAATAAATGACTCTGAAGAAGAAAAGCCCTCGGTTAGGAGAAGAAAGAGAGCGGTAAGGGGAACGTTCTGGAAGCCAGGCTCTCTGGTGCTGGCCAAGATACTGACCTGCTTCTTAAATTCACTTTGTCTCTCTTTGCTTTAGACCACCTGTGTGTGAAAATGACTTTGGGAAATATTTGGTGAATTTTTTTTACATATATAGAGGAAATGTTTAAGAAAATTATAGACATATGTCATAGAAAATTAAAGTTTTATAAGAAGACTTTAAGATTTAAAAGACTTACGGTCTTTATACTCAAACTGATAAAGTCTCTATGCCAGTCGCTTGTGTTAAGTTATGTATGTATAATGCAATCCCTCAAGCAACTAAAATTTATACAAAAGATTCATACAAAGAAATATACTCAAAAGTACTATAGATAAATCAAAGTAGAATTTTAACAAATCTTTCAGTAATGCACAGGTAGGCAAAAAGAAAAGAAAAGAAAACAGAAATGAACAACAGGGAAAAATATAAACAGGGAAACAAAAAATAAAATGGCAGATTTATATCCTAACATTTCAATAACTACATTAAATGTAAATAGTCTTCTTTATTTGTAATGGCCCCAAACTAGAAACAGCCAAATTTCTCTCAATGGGCAAATGGTTAAACAAACTCTGGTATATCCATATCGTGGAATACTATTCAGCAATAAAATGGAACATACTATTGATACATGCAATAATTTGGATGGATCTCAATAGCATTATTCTGAGTAGAGAAGGCCAACCTCCATGGGTCACATACTCTATGATTACATTTTTAGATCATTCTCTAAAGAACAAAATGATTGTGGTGAAAACCAGATCAGTGGTTGCCAGGCTTTAACACTGGTGAGAGGTGGTGGAGGGTGGGCAGGACCATAAAATGGTAGCACAAGAGATATCTCTGTGGTGCTAAAAACAATGGATTAGGTTATAGTGGTGGTGGTGGTGGTTATAGATTCTACCCATAAGATAAACTGACACAGAACTATGCACACATATTGTACCAATGTCAATTTCCTGGTTTTGAAATTGTACCATAGTTACATAAGATGTAACAACCATATGGGGGAAATTAAGAGAAGGCTGTATGGGGACTCTATGTATTATTTTTGCAACTTCCTGTGAATCTATAGTTATTTTAAAATAAAAAAAATTTTAAACAATCTTGCAGCCTAGATGCAGCAATAAACAGATCCTTGTACATCTGCCAAGTGCTAATTTATGAGTAAATATGACAAGTTGCAACCATCCTGAAGAGCTAAGGCATTTCAGGAGAAAGAGCACATTAACCTCAGTTCGCCAGACTAATCTAAAATTATCCATTGTTGATTTTGTCTTTGAAGATGCTATAAGAATAAAAAGAAAATCTATGGCTTCTTTACC